ACTTAGGAAGACTGATCACTTTGTGGTGACATGAAAAACTGGAGTAACTTCTTGAGGAGGGAGGTTGTTGCATTGTTCTTTCTAACCACAAAGTTTCTTAGTTTTAATATTCAGGACAATAAACAAGCAAGATTTCCGAAGGGAAGGATCATAGTAGGATAATTTTAGCTTGTTGGTTGGCAGGACTGTCCTGCAAGCCAACACCCTTTAAATCTAGGAGAAAAAGTTTCAATCGGGATATTGACACTGGAAGTCAGAAAATATGTTTTATCTTAAGTCATATCCTCAATGTGCAGATTAATGAAAGAATTTGAAGGCTATAGTGATGTAGTATGATGCCATTTATATTCTGCAGTGAGTCGATGTGACGTAGGTAAAAGTAATTTCGTGCATTCTGTAAATTCTGTTCGATGACACTGTAACCATTTAGAACATTGCGCGATTCAATGAGGACATTGACCGGACTGTCCGGGGAGTATGTGACATTCGACCAGAATGGCCAAAATGCAGTCTCTGCAGAATTCGGTATTTTAGCAGCAAGCCTTCCGAATTGGCGATTTAGAACGGATAAGGACGTTATTTGAACGATTAGCCAAACGGTGAAGGCTAGAAGATTCTGGAATTCTAATTTTTAAAAATTCGAATTATGACGTCATATTTCTGAGAAACGTCAGAGACGGCCATTTTAGCTAAAATAGCAGAAAAAACAGAACAACTTTATCTGCGATTACGAACAGTACGAAAATCGAGACTAAAAAACAACAACGAACTACCGAACAGCAGAGGACGTTCCGAGTTGCAACTATTGTGCTGTTACAATAGTTGCAAGGCCGTTGCGAGCAACGGTGAAGGGTAAAAACCAGCCCTCCGAGTTAGCGTGAACCTGAGGTTAAGGAGCTTGATTCGCCGGATTCAAGAATCCGGAAGGGTCTCGGGACGGGAACTTTTATGAACTTGTATTGAATTTTAGCATCCTGTCATGTCCTGACTTGAATTTAACTGATATTTTGATTAGTTTTGACAAGGATGAGGTGCTAGGAGTTGGGGGAAAGGGTTGATCCATCTTCGATGGAGATGATGATTTTTATCTACTGAACAAAAACAATAGTAATATAATAAGTAGTAGCCCTGTTTTTAGGAGTGACCTCGTGGTCTGGGGATACAGAGACCCAGCCATGAGCTCAGTAATTTTGCATGTAATTCAGTTAATTTGAGCGTTCTGGTCGAAGCCGGAGAACAGTAACGTTTTTGTCAGCCTGATGTAAGAAAGACCACCGAAAAGTACTGGCTTGGTAGAGACGGTGAAAAACATGCAAAGCTCTGTTTAGACGCTAGCCAGTCGTCTTAAGACTTAGTTTTGTTATCCGTCGATATGTATCTTCCGGGCGAATGTTACACGCATTTATGCCGTTCGCATATTTTTGAGCCTAATCGAAGTCCTATCGCAATAGTTGTTGGTTCGACAGTTTCAACCTTAAATTTTTGCACGGGATGACGTTCAACCATTGGGAGCCAAATCTATCTTGGAACGCGTTGAATCTTTTTACGTCCGTTGGTTCGAGTCGTAAAATCAAGTTTGCAATTTCGCCGTCAAAAATTTGCTCCGTCCAATTTTTTTGGAAAATTTTGACCAAAATTTATGTTTTTCCGGCGCGCACTCCCCTTCAAAATTTGTGTATATTGGCGTCGAAAGCGCTTGTAGAAAAATTAAAGGTTTGGTCGCACTAAAATGGATGTCATAAGGTAATAACAAAGGGGGGACCCTTTGGTTAATAAGGGGGTCGAATGCCTGAGGGAAGGGGAGTCGGCCCCCACCCTTGAATCCGCCCCGACTGGCGGTAACGAATGTGCAACAGTTGTAGAAAAAAGTTCCCGTATTTTTTTGGGCTGGATTGTCTGGGATTTAACATTCCGGCCTCTATGATTTTTCACGCAGGATACCGAGTTTTTTCATTTTTAACAGACTTGAGTTTTTAGAATGATAACACATCAAATATTTTTGCAAAGCAAAATTTTTTAAATTATTATCTTTTGTTCTTTGGGCACCGTTTTGCGAAGATTAAGAAGGCTTAATTACCTGAAAAGTACAGATTGATAAACTTCTCTCCACAGTGGTCAACAGTTTGTAACGGATAAATGTTTACATGGAAAAGAAAGATCTTTATTTAACTGGTTCAAGTATTTTGGTTAACTTATAGCTCATCATTTTCACTTTTGCGGCTTTGTGATATAATATTCAGTCTTATTTTGATCTTTGAAATGGCACCAAGGTTGTTAATGGTTTTCAGGTCATGAGTGATTGAAACAAAAAAAGAACACGAACTTATGCAATGTTTTTGATAATGATGCATCTTTTGTTTCTATCGAGATCAACACTTGAGTTTTTGATGTACATGTTTCTCGTTTTTTTTAAAAAAAATTTTTAGTAGACAGTGCTTCGTACAAAGTTGAATTCTCCGAACAAGAAAGATTCATTTTTTTGACAGCAAAATTGGTATAAAAGTGTCTTGAAATCAGGGACGGATCTAGGATTTTCTCGAAGGGGGGGGGGGGGTGTTTTCAAAATTTTTTCTATGTCGACTAAATTGATTTTCTGAGCTCTCCCAAAGCACCAAAAAGACCCTGTTTCGGCCAAATTTTCTGCACCGCAGGCAAATTTTTGAAAAAACATTCCAAAACATGCGTTTTCGGCCACGTTTTGGAAAATTTTTTACCAAAGAATGAGGGGGAGGGGACACTTTGGGTCGGCATGGGGTCGAATCCCTTAAGGGGGTCGGTCCCCCCTCTTTATCCGCCCTTGCTTGAAATCCATACAAGGCGGGAGGACAATCCATTCATTTTGTGTTTTAGTAATTCCGAAACTAATGATTTGTTATGAGTTTCTTTAATAGTCTTCAAAAATCAAATCTAATACTGTCATGGAAGCAACCTATGTTTTCGACTGCATTTGTTCGATAGATGCAAATTTGTTTTTCCAGTCAAGGTCAAAATTTCATTGAAAATATTTTTTTTTGATATTTGTCTGAAATTTCTAAAATTTATCGGTCCTTGAAAAACGGGCAGAATTTGAAAGAATTTATTTCCGAGTGAAAAAACAGGACAGTGATTTCTGGTCACGACAAACATATCGGAAAACTTGTTCCACAAGTATTTTGACAAAGAAGTCACATGATGGAAATGCCTCCCAAATGTCTAAGAGACATTTAGCTTTTTGGTTCGAACATCCTGTGTACTTTGTGACTCAGCTGTTGCTGCATAGAATGTAGAATTATTAACCAATGAAACTTTGATTGAACTGAAATAGGGAAATCAAACTCCTTGAGGGTAATTGCCCTAAGTTCTTAAAGTTTTTTAAATATGATTATCAATAGTCATGAACGTAATAATTTCTCTTGTATAGGTCTTAATGATTTTTTTTATCCTGAAAAAGTCTGAAAATTTGCTCATGCACGATTTTGATTTGTCGTGTTTTAACTTTCCAAACTCACTTCTTTTCCTTTGTCAAAAGGAATGCAACATCCACTATTGTACAGCAGAAGTGTTAAAATCACAAAAAAAAAGGTGATCGATGTCGAGTCCCGAAAGTTGATTTTAGTTTTCAGATTTCCTAGCAAAACAAAAGATAAAATCACTATTTTTTGATCCAGTTTTCTCACATTGAGTAACTTTTATCTAAAAACTGCCAATCATAAACTGTTTTTGAAGTTCTTCTTTGGTAGTCAGAAGTTGAGTTTTTTCAAAAACCAAGTCAGTAGTCAAGTCAGCCGTGCGTTTGTTGACTCTTTTTTCCGTGACATTGCCTCTCCTGTATATTTTTGTTCCGATCATGTAAAGTGGGGAGAAACTGTCTTCGGGGTTTTAATTTTTCTTGTTACAAATTTTTTCCCGCGCTAAATTAGTTCCACAAATAATCAGCGGCAATAATCAGACCTCATTCGAACCATATAAAAAGATTTCCTAAGACGATTGTGTCGAGAAAACCCTGTTTGAAATTTCTGACTTTTGGTCTAATTTTGAGCGGTTAAAGCGAGCGAGTTGATGTTATATTATAAAGCTTTGAATCATTTGATTTTTTAAAGCGAGCGACTCTGTGATAATGGTAAAATCTTGGAATCATTTGTTGTTTTTTTTTTTTTAAGTTTTTGAATACAACCTGTAGTCAATTATGACTAATATACTAATGTTGTAAACTTTCGTCTATTTTTTTTCATGACGCTACAAATAAAAAAGCTCGATGTTGGAAAAAAACGTCATTTTGAATCTTAAGTAATGCATTTTCTTTCGTAGTTGTGTAATCGCTTTTCGGCTAACTTTTGAAAAAGTTAGGAAATTTGTCAGTTTTTAACCGATTTTCGGTGATATATTACAATAGGTGGTAATTTTAATTATAGTGCATATATCCAATTCGAAAACTTCAAGGCATTTCATTTCCACTCAATTGTACATGTACTGCTACTGAGATAGTTTTTGTAAATGCATTACCCTGCCAGATGAAATGTTATTCAAAGTTAATGTTGTACACTTCGTTCGCAAATGAATTTCGCTTTTGAAAGAATTTATAAATACTGTTCGAAGTACAGCAAGTAACGGTCCAGCTGTTTAACTTGAACGTACCACATATTGTAATATATCACCCAATTTTCCTGTATCTGTATTATTAGTTTTGCTTTTTTTTTTAAAAAAAAGAGGCAATTATTAAAAGTCTATTTCATGGAGTTCCACACTTGAAATCTGCTTAGATATTGCTAGGGTTGCATAGTTTGAACCAGGTTGATTTGAATCAAGGAATAAGTAAACGTCAAAAAATCAATTGAGCACATGGAAAGTTTACTTCCTGCGTTTCACTTTTCAACCTTTTTTTATCCACTCAAACCTGAGAAACCGGGTTGTTTTTCATCATCAAATATGATTGAGTTTTGAAACCAAAACAAAATTTATTTAAATCAAGTGAGAATTCTAAAATTCTATAATAAATCAAATCAGGGTTGTTGTTGATTTTCAGGTCATGTATGATCAAGACGAAGAAACCACGAGAACTTTCAAAATAATTATCATCGGTGACACCAATGTTGGGAAAACATGTTTGGCCTTCCGATTTTGTGGCGGTCGCTTCCCAGAAAAAACAGAAGCAACAATCGGCGTTGATTTCAGAGAAAAACAGGTGACAATTGATGGCGAGGATATGAAGGTACGTCAAGACATGAATGTATTGTTTTCGAAATCATTTCAGTTTTTTTTTACAAAATACAATTCTCAAACTAAACAAAAATAGCCGGCTGCTGTGTAAGTAGCTCATAGTATTCGTCAAACGTACATTTTTGCACAAAGAAACAAAAACGTTTGAAAAAGAATTTTTTTTTCAGAAATTTTAACGCGGTTTTACGTTGTAGGGCGAGAGAGCGTTTTTGTCAATGAGGTTAGCTGATAGCTTAATATATAAGATAATTGTTGATAAAAAAGAGAACTGTTTTGATGAACTTCTTTTTCTCAGTTCGAGATTAGCTGGCGAGAAAAATTTGTCCTTTCTCTTGTTATTCTTCTTTTTTATGTTACTTTTATGTTTGCATTGTCATCAAACTGAATTTTTCTAGATTTCTGATGATGTCTTCGGACGAAAACGTTTAATTAACTTAACATAGAAGTCCTCTCTCCCATCAGAAGTTTTTTTATAATTGCTGCGGCGAAAAAAAAAATCCCGAATCCGAATTTCTTCTTTACATTCGGTTGTCGGGTAAAAAGTATTTAATAGGTCGGGTGAAAATTTTTGCGTTTTCGGTAACTTATTTTTGAGTGTATTGTTAGCTACAATTATGGGACACAGCAGGACAGGAAAGATTCAGACAGTCTATGGTGCCCCATTACTACAGAAACGTGTCAGCAGTTGTATTTGTGTTCGACATCACGAGGCGATCCACATTTGAAAGCATTCCCAAGTGGTTTGAGGAGTGTGAGCGGTACGCCACTGACAGAACCATTCCACGCATACTAGTCGGCAACAAGTGCGACGACGAGGAAAACAGAGAAGTGGCCAACTACGAAGCCCAAAGACTAGCAGATACACACGGCATGCCTTTATTCGAAGTGAGACTTTTCTTATACTTATGGGGGAAAATGTACCACCTAAACAAATTTGTTGAGTTTTCTGTGACCCATGGTTCGAATCCAGCAATAAGTTCAGCCATGGTGCTAAATATGGTTGTATCCAAAAGTTGGTGGGAATGTGTGTGGTATGATAATATCAAGATTGTTGGTGTGCTTGCGATAAGAATGCCTCAGCAAATCGGGACATGGACTTTTTAGAATTTATCCGTGTCTAACAGAATAATTTCAAATGTTAACTTCATAATGACGTTAAATTTTTGCGTGTTCGACAAATTTAGCCTAGCGTTAACGTTTCTCCAGCGCTGACTTTTTGCGATCCGAGCAATTATTTCTATAATTAAAAGCCTTTTTGTTTGCTGAGAGGGGGAATTTCAAAGCTATTTTGTGTTCGGCTCAACTGACGTCTAGTTTTTTCGTATTTTTAATCTAGCGGTTGTGTTTTCCTCAAAATGATCATCATTCGAGACAATTTAAGGATTTTTTGAAGCTGCAGTTTTTTTTCCGTTTTTTCAAATAATTTTATCGACCTAATGTCTTTCGTCTGATTTTCTGTAAGCTAGCTTACTATGCTATGTTTTTGTGGTATCATAAGTGGTGCGAAGCTGCGCTTCTTCTTGTAATGTTTCTACTTTAAAAAAGTTGCGTTGCACTTGCGATTAGTTGCACTAAACATCTTTCTTTTTTCGTTAACCAACTTATAAGTTACATCACTAAAGACTTCCTTGTTAATGAAGGCTATCTTTTTAAGTGCTTGGGTTTTGAACATGATGATTGCAATTCGAGATCCTGCTGGATTTTTTTTGGATTTAATTTTTTATGGTTTTAACGGTTTTAGAAAATAAATTTGGTTTCAGAAGTTTTTCTGTAGAGTTTGTAAATTTACAGTAAAGTTTTGAAATTTTTGGAATAAAAAGCACTCCCAGTGAGCAAAAGGAATGTTTGTCACGTTTCCTTTTCAGCCTATGGTTATTTGAGTCATATTTCTGCACATGAAATATTTTTTCTAGCTTTTTAAGTGTAAATTAAGAAAGTGAAGTCGTGTGATTTTTTTGAGTCTTGTGCTTTTTTTTCTAGTCTTAAAATTTGTTCACGCTCCATTTGGATCTTTCTCGGTTTGACTTTTGATTTCTATTGAATTTAAACTCATTTGCTGAAACGAAAGCAAATAAGGGCATTGCTAATTTGAATGTGTCATTGTCGCGAAAAAACAAAATTATTTGATGGTTAAAAACTGGATTTCAATATTTTGTATTAACACTAGCGTTAGCTTAGTTATAAAGAACCTTCTTTCTAACCTAAGTCGCAAACATTGAAACCACTTTTGAGGCACCTTTACAGCATTTTGATAGCATGTGCGTTGACTTTCGAAAAGTAATAGGTTAAGACAGTTGATGCATTTTTAATTCATCAAATGAACCGAAAAAAAGCTATTAGTTTCAAAGAACAGAACAATAATAAAAACTCAATTTCAAAATTTTCTAACTCAATATGTTTTGCAATTTTTTCAAATGCTTAATTTCTACATAATGTGGCTGTATGCTTTGCGATTTGTTAAATATATAGTTAGTGTGGATGGCTTCAGTTTATTATATTCTAAATTATTACTTGCTAAATTGTCTCATTTCTATTTGGTGCCACTTTTTTTCGATTTGCATGGGCAATTTGTTAGCATATGTAGCTGCTTCCTTCGTGACTAGTGTTTGTTGGTGGTTAAGCCTGTGTGGTAAGTGCGTGAGACTCAAAATCTCTTGATTGCAGTAGATCGGATAGTAGACCTAGGCCGAATGTTTACCTTTTCGAGAATTGTTTCTATTTTATCTTATTGCAGCTTCTAGAGCTAGCTGCTTTTTGTCGTTGTCTCGCTAGTGTTTGCGAAGCTTCGCCTTTGTGTAACAAATTAATTTTCCATAATTGGGTTTGTTTTCTGAAAAATTGTTGATCATAAAAGACTTTTAAATTTCTAAGAGCTTTAACGTTGAAACATCAATGAGCGAAATTTCAATTTTTCGTTTGTTTATTTTATCTCCATTTCATTAATTTTTTATTGACTCTTTTCAACTTTCTGTTAACTATGTTTTTTGTTAGGTTCTTTTGATTGAAGGTCGCCCTAAATACTATGCTTAATTCTTAATTTAGACGTTTAAAAGCTTTAAATAATATGCTGAGGAGAAACCTTGTTTTTAAGGAATTTCTTGCATTTAAAAACGGTGGTCTTGCTAAGTTCTAAGAAGTGTTTTCATGGGATAACTTCCTCGGGCTTTTCTAACTCATTTTTTGTTTGTTGTTTTTTTTATTCTTTCAGTTTTCATGAAAAATGGATAAAAAAAAGGAATTAAATAACCTTTCATTTAGCGCGTCCCACGATTTTGTTTCAATGGTAAAAACAGGTTCGGTCTGTTCGCAAAGTTGTAGTACTTTTCAAGTTTTATGGTTCAAGCCAACATTTGCGTTAGAAATTTAGATTTTTTCGTGATGAAGGCAATTTTTAAGATTGTGGTAATTGGTCTTTCCGGCTTTTTACTTTCCATTGTTGACGGAGATTTCGAGAACACCTTGAAGATATTAATTTCTTGCTTGAGCTCAAATTTAAAAAACGTTATTTGCTGGTGGTTTAAAAATGCTAAATGTGGAATAATCAAAGCGCACTCTTTACCTGTTTTCTTTAAACGCGTAGCGTAGGCGTCTTATTGATCAGAATTCATTCCAATTAACTTGAGACCAGCAATTTTATCTGTTTCATGCGTTACTAGACAAGAAATATATCACATGGATTTTTATTCAGGGTACATAGGGTGTATTTCATAGCATGTGGGTGATTTTCAGAAACGAAATGATTTTTGAAAATTTAATCAAAGATTTTCGTTGAAAATTTATCAAAACTAGTTTGATAGACTTTAAAGCACTTTTGATACATTGAGCGGTTTTTTTCCAAATTGCCCTGTAATTAAATTGTTCAAATTTATCTTCAATTTCATTTGTGAATGCGATGTGAAACTGCTGTGTTCGAATATTAGAATTTGTGTTTTCTGATTCACTAAAAAGCATGGTATGATTTTTGCATTTTTTCCTACCAGGCGATATTTTACAGTTACAGATTTTTCCCGCTTTGTAAGTCTAAATTAACGATGCAAATTTTCTTCTATTTGGGTCCCGTTCTTTTCTCTTTTTTTTCCGGGACTATGTGTTGAAATTTGTTCGTGTCCAAAAGATTGATTGTCACGGTTTGTTTTCTTTAAAGTTCATATTCAGTTTTATTTGCTAAATCGTACGCATGTAATGTGTGTTGTACCAGCGCAAATCTTGGGGAAAATCGAGCATGCATTTTTTAAAATCATTTTATGAACCTATGTATCGTTTTACCGCTGAGCTTGAAGTTCATATTCAGCCAGCGAAGTGGTCATCTTGAAACAATGAAGTCTTTTTGTTTTATAGGTTGAACAAAAACTATAAAAGTTTGTGTGACATAAACTGAACTAAAGGTCATTTTTTACGTCATTTTTGTTCAGACCTCAGCTATGGAGGATGACAAGACAGACCACATAGACGGGATCTTCATGACTCTGGCACACAGACTGAAGGCGAGCAAGCCACTCCTGACCACTCTGAGCAACACACACAACAACTCCTCATCCACACCCTCCGAGATCAGGGCCGCAGACGGACTGAGGCTGGGGGGAGCGGCCTCGCCTTCTATTATCCTCGGAAAGGAACACAGCCACGCCAAAGGAGACAAAGGGGAGTGTGGCTGCTAGTATAGGGGGACTGCTGGTAGTTAATCTCTAATTTGTTATCTGAATTTAATAATACAACTGAGACGGCTCTTAAACTGTTTTTTGCTGTACTTCGTGGCTTTTACAATAAATCCTTTTAGAGCGTATTTTTTCTATGGATTATTAATTTTTCCCTTTCTTAGCACTTGGGGCAACTACACTGGGTTTAAATAGCACTTGATAGGTTAAAATAAAAAAGAGGTTTAAGAGTCGTACTGGAGATCGATTAAGACCCGATATAGTTAGTCTAGTTTACTGAATAAATTATTGCACAAAAGAAAGTTATACTAACTATTATGCAAGCTATTTTGTAATGCGTTTGATAATCTTCGTTTTGCTAATGAATACATATGGAGCTAAAAGTAGATGAATGTTGTTTGTTTTATTCTTGTTTTTTCTTTGCTGAAAACGTGTATGATTGTAACGTTCTTAACAGATTTTGCATATTTTCATCTGTTGCACAATAAATAAGCTGCCATTTTAAGGTCGAACACGATGCATGAATTTGTCAGTAAATTTCAATTGCGGGCATTGAATGTGGAATTGTATCATGATATTTATTTTGTCTTGTAAATATTGGTTAGTATAATTTATTTTGCATTTTTCAGCTGGTTCCGAAAATGCAAGTCGGGCTCGTTATAAACATGAAAACATCCTTTGCTCATACTCGAAACAAATCACTTAAAAATTGTGATTTTTTAGACGGAAATTTTATTGAATCTAGATTGTTAGACTGATCGAATTCTCAACTACATGACAATTGCAGAACTTGATACAACTACTCGATGAAGACCTTTTCTGACAAAAATAGACTTGGATGTTTTCAGATAGAATACCGACTTTGTGCAAAGTATTTTGCAGGTCATTCCATTCGCAGAGTTTACGATGCTAGCTTAGTTGATGAAGTTCACATGACGCCATTCTCATTTTGTAATCTTCTGATTCAATTATGCAATTTCATTTTGTAACTTCTATTTCCTCGCCAACTTGTGTCAAAACAAAAACAACGACTACCGGTTAACTATTTTTTTAATACATTGAATTTAAAATTTCTAAATGTGCTGATAGCAAAGAATTTGTTCAGATTGCTTAGAATTTTTCAGTCGGTCGGTGAGAATTTTTCAGTCAATTAGAATTTTTTCTGAGACGGCGAGGGAAGGAAATTCGGGGACCTTGTGGCAGTCTATTTTGTTGGGTATGCCCTTAGACTTCTCTAATTTATACATCTAATCTATTATTCATACTTATTACCATGGTAATGTGTCATTTTTGTCTGCCGCTGTTGTGGTATTTTCCCTCATGAAGTGAAGCACCACGTTTGAATAATTATGTCACCCTGAAAAACATCGAACCTCAGTTGTTGTGTTGTAGGCAAATGTTTATGTTATACCTGAAGGTCACGCCAAAGAAAAAACAGCTTTGTATCAAAAAGTATAAATAATGAAAATGAACTAAATTTGTATATAAATTTCCATTAAATTAATCCAAATGAAACTATTGAATAAGTTAACAGCAACCAAAGTAACCATTCAGTTTAGTAAAAAGGGAAATGTAGAAAATGGTTGTCGAGGTTTGTTGTCCAGATAAATTTTAATTTATTACTACCTCATTCTTCAACAGTTACCTGAGTATATATAGTTACGATAATTCATTTTCATCTTCTTTGTGTTTCTCACATTTAACGAGATCAGGGTGAAACTAGAATAAATTTAAAAAAACCATGGTTGGCTATAAAACATAAGAAAAAAACGCGTAAACAACTTGTTAAAGTGTTACCTTCAATTTGCAAGAAATTCAGAGCTTTCATATAAAATATTCGCAAACAACGCTTGTGTTATATTACCAACCCTTTTTTTATTTGATTCTTTTTAAGGGGTCAGTTATTGCAGGTCAATAATCTAAACCTGAGACAACAAGATTTTTTTCAGTAGCGGAGAAGTGCGGACGTCCCCACCACTATACGATGCTAATTCATTGATGGATTGTAATCCGTAGGAATATTTTCTGCAAAATTGGCAGCTCCTACTGCATTAAGAGGGTTTACTCGGTTTCTAAGTTACTCACGTTTCTTTTTAGCTAAAAAATTATATAGAGATACGAAAATAAGGGGAAAATATGAGAAAAAAGAAAGGGAAATAAGGTTTTTAATAATTTAAATTCCTGAATTAATTCAACGTCTGTTTTGCTAAAGCAACGTTCAAATCATGAGTTTACTGAAAAGGGTTGCACAAGGCAGGAGAAAGGAGAAGTGCAACCTTAAAAAATAAAACAAAAAAATATGGAAAGCTGTTTTGGAAAGATGAAAAACCTGAAATTGAAGCTCTTTGATTTCAAGATTTTTTTTAGTTTGACACTGAATTACTAAAATAACCCAATTTGATAAAACTGGAGCAGCTTAGAGTTTTTTCGCTGATTTTTTTTGGTTACGCGCAATTTCCATTCGTTCAACTAATGACTTTGTAGCAAAAAAAATGGTCAAATTAAAGTGTACTTATGTTTAAAGAGTTTTTCTATCTCTTGCTCATTGCGTGAGCGGGAAGCCAAATTTTCGAGCCCTGAAAATAGCCATGGAACACGTGTTTTTTACACAACGGCCAAACAGCAAATCTCCGAGCTGAGCTATGAAGCTCGTCTTTTGGTCTTTTCCCTCATGGATAATTCATCTTTATTTGTAACTTTTAGTTTCATTCATTGACTATTAAAAATATCAAAAAGTTGGCTAGTACTCTGTTGTTAAATCCAGGTGTTAGTATATAAAACACATTTTTTGGTGGATTCTTTCAACTGAGAAAGTTGAACAAAAATCTCACAATTCCCGGTTTTCTTCGACCCCCTTGTAAATTGTTTGTTTTCAGCGTTTTATGCTTCTATAACTAAATGCATAATAAGATGTAGAATGTGCGTAACAGAAAGCCTAAATTTTTTGTTAATCAAACTTCCGATTTGACACTGAAACATTATGTGATGACAACTTTCTTGTTTCTTGACTGCATATTGGTTTGTCACTTTTGGAAAATCAAAAACAAATGACTGCTAGCTTGTGAAAAAAAAAATGAAAAAAATTAGATGAAATTCCAAGAAAAAAAGGCTATACTCAGTCGAAAGATATAATTCGTAAATACAAAGATTTTTTTTCTAGCACCATTAATCGAAATATATTTTTAGATGACGGAACATACCCTCAGATGTATTGTCTTGCAGTTTGACCATAGCTTTTTATCCTCGTTCATTGAAGATTAATTTGTGACGACCTATGATAAGCTGGGGTTTAAAAACTTTAATTGAATTTTTTTCTCTAAATTCTCCAACACAAGTATAATTTTTTCCAACCTAATTCGCAATTGTTGATGCTTTTTTGGGGCATTTTCTGTTTTTTTTTGGTAGGATGTGCTTTGACATTTGATCAGTAAAAAGTTTAACGCAGTTGAAGGTTTTTTAGACAACAGACAAAAATAAAAACTAGATTTCAAAGTTTTTTCGACTCAATGTCTTTTGCAATATTTTTGAAATGATTAAATTACAATCAATTTGGCTTTATGCTTTCCAAATTATTTCATGCAAAGTTAGTGTGGATGCCAAGTTTTTTGTTTTTCATATTTACACCGAAGACTTTAGTCAAGTCAAAAAAGTTTCTACTTGTATTTGGTACCATTTTCGCTGCATCGCATTGGAAATTCATTAGCATATGTAGCTGACTTGATTGTGGCTAGTGTTTGCAAATTATCGGAGCTCGTAGCTTCTGGCTCATCAAGTTCATGCATTAGGTTCATTTTTTCAAGTTTAAGCTTGAAGACCAAATGTTTTATCATTGCCTATTTATAAGTAGGCCATGACAAAACGTTTGGTTTTCATTCTCATACTTGAAAAAAAATAAACCTGATGAAACATGAACTTGATGCTCGTGCGGGGTGGAGGAGCGTTTCAGCGCCAAAGACCGTACCTCCAAATGCTGAGTTGGGAGCGGGTAGCAAGAGTTGTTTGCTTTGAAGATTTGTTAACTCGAGTTCGGAAATTTGTACGGCGTGCAGTATGCTGATTATTTATTAGGTTAAAAATGAAGTTAGGATAATGTTAATAAATCAAATTATTTTCAAAATACATTGAAAGTTTGAGCCAGTTTGTTTTTCGTCCGAACGAACACTTAATCAAGGCACAGTCATTGCACGCTAAATGGCTAGTAGCATGCTTACCTCCTACAACTTCAAAATAAACTTATTCAATAAAATTTTCTCGGTTCTTTTGTACATTCCCCCAGCATTTCAAGCTTTCCGTTCTCAGTGTACTTAATATGTTATCGAGAGTCAATGCTTGACTTTTGAAAAACATATGTTTAGAATGTGTTCAGGATCAAATTTTGCGTGATTCTATTGAAAAAATGAAGAATTGATGTGTTCAAGATCTATGCCACTGGCAGAGTTAACATGCTCGCCCTTCTAAAATTAAAAAAAAATGAAAACAGTAAGATAAAATTTTAAGTTGAGTTTCATTTGTGAGTTAAACGTGGAAAAAAGCACCACAAAAAAACGTTACTACTTCAAAGGAACCCGTTCATTTTCCAGTAAATAATACAATGAACAAAAAATTCACAAAAAGATAAATTTTCTGCATGGACAAGTTTAATTAATTCAAACTAGATTGTACTTTTATTTCACATTAGTTTTTTAAAATGAACTCTTTATTCGTCATTTGGAAGTAATTCGCAGAGGCAATTGAGTCAATTTCACATTTAACAATTAGAAATAATTTTTTTTGGGGACCATTAGTAAAAGCAAAACTAACTTGCCACACAGAGGTGAAACAAAGTTTTCCAAACACTAGCGAAAAACCTTAAGAAATAGCTCCATAAACAAATTTATGTCAGCATTGCACTATGGTAATCTAAATTGGTATGAGTACTAAATTGGGCTAGTAACACATGAATTTGTTCTTCATATTAACCTTATAATACCACGGCTCTTTTTTGTTTTTTCCCCAGCTGCAAGTTTTACTAAGGTTTTTTTAATGTTCAATTTGTGCGGTTGTATAATAATTGACATGCAGACTAATTAGGCCATGACAAACATATTTAATCTTCATGCTAAAAGGCCGGTCTGCGGTAAAATTTAGGACTGATTTTCGGCTTCAAACTCCTTTTTGACTGTGTAAGTTCAATGGGCTCTTTTGCACTCCCCCTCTCACCACATTTGGTTTTCAGATTAGGTAGTTTTCTTACGTTTCCATGAGGAATCGAAACTTTCAAGTCAACAACTTAACTATCTCGAACTTATATGTTCTTCATACCTCACAGCGTAACATCACGCATTCAGCCTTAATTTCAAGTGAGACGACTAAATTCTCCAGATCTTTGTTGAGTAGAATTGATATGAACTTTAGAAGTCAAAATAGAATCAAGAAGAACCTCATATTCAAAAGAAAACAGTCTTGTATGTCATTGATTGAAAAATTTGGCGGAAATCAATTATCGTCAAAATTGGAATTTTTATTTTTACAATCGATACCAGCCATTTTAGTAATCTCTTGCAACTGGTTGTGGGATGTCATGTGGTACGGCGGGTGTGCCTCCCATTATGTAACGTAACGTGTTGTGTATTGAATTGATTATAGAGGCCATATTGTTAGTCTGAGTGAGTTGATAATTTTGTCAAGGCCGGTACTTGCCGACCATGTTAATGTTCAGTGCTAAATGAAAATCACTTTCTCGTTATCTGGTGAAAGATACAGGTATATCAACATTGCTTTATGAACCAATTCACATTTTATTACAATTACTTTTAAAACTAAATGTCTGTCGGTTGACATCCTGCTGGCTGCGCCATGTGGGATGTCAACCGACAGACACTTAGTTACAAAAGTAATTGTAATAAAATGTGAAATGGTTCATAAAGCAATGTTGAGATATCTGTATCTTTCACCAGATAACGAGAGAGTGATTTTCATTCAGCACTGAACATTAACATGGTCGGCAAATACCGGCCTTGACATAATCATCAACTCACTCAGACTAACAAAATGACCTCTATAATCAATTCAATACACAACACGTTACGTTACATAATGGGAGGCACACCCGCCGCACCTTACTCCCCCCCTTCAAAAATTTCTGATCAACAGAAATTCAATTAAAACAAAATGAGTTTTAAGTAAGAGTTTTAAGATTGTTTTAGCTGGGTCTTCTACTTTTGAGGCTGCACTTTATTCTTTTGAATACTTTCATTTTTTCTTCTTGGTGATTGCGACAAAGATTGCTCTGCAGGAGACACCGGAACTGTCAGTCCGCTCGAAAAGCCAGGTGTAGATGCTTCTGAGACTTTTTTGACCGCATGTCGTATGGGGCTGCCATAAAACTGTGTCTGTCTTTTACTGCGGCCCGATGTTCTCGAGGAGGAAGATTCGTTCCCATCTTGATCTTCTGTGCCCTTAGTAGGTATCTTCTGTGGTGAAGTTGGTGTCTTAATGGGGCTGTTTTCTGGTGTCTGCTTAATGATTGACAATGGGCAGGATTGGGGTGTGACATTTGATTCTGTCACATGATCGTCTTCGAACGAGACCGGTTGTAGAACTGTGGCATCCGATACTACTTCCGCGCCTGGTTGCATCGTTACCCTCCTGGTCGTAAGTGGTCTTTTATCAACTCTGATAGATATCGGAATAGTTTTCGAGCACGAG